CAAAAACATTAATTTAATACAATGCTTTCCAACTTTGGAATTTTTTTGTTCCCACCTGTTGTACTCCTGATGGTAACCCTCAACTTCCTGCTGCTGGGCGCAGGCGACGGGAGTCATTCTCTCCTCCTCCTCCTCTGTGGTGTTTGCCGCACGGCTGTGCTGGTGTTGACCCCTCCCCACCCTTCCTTTCCCTCCTTGCCTTCTCGTGCGGGACCGCACCCCTCGCCAGCCGCAGGCGGCAGCACACACGCACACACGCAGAGACACAGCGAGGGGCACAGCGGGCATGGCACGGCGATGCTCCACGGCGACGCAGACGGCTGCGGCGCCCGTTCGGTGCCTGGCCGCGGCGCAGTGGCGCGAGAGGGCGTCCGCTCCGCGCTGCAGCGGCTTCTCCGCCACACCCTGACGCTGCTTGGGGCCCTCAGCAGCGGTGTGGGCGGTGTTCGGGACGCAGCCCGCCTGAGGTGCAGCGGCAGTGCCCCGCGCCTGGGAGGGGCCCAAGGAAGAGCGGCGCAGGTCGCCGAGGCAACCGTGAGAGCCCGCGCCGCCGTGCAGCTGCTGGATCGTGGGGGCGTCGCGCCGCACCTGCGCGTGGCGGGCGGGGCGCTCGCAAGTGCGACCGAGCTGCTGGACCGCCTGCAGCGTGAGAATGGCTGGCGCGTGTAGAACCCCCTCTGCTGTGCGCGCGTGGCCGTCTGCCTTTGCGTTGCGCCGCGGCCCCGTGATGGCGGGCCCAGTGCGGTCGGGCACCGCTCTTCATTTCTGCGCCGCTCCTCTTTCCCCCTGCCGACCCGCCCACCACCCTCCCTTGCTTCCTTGCCTTTCCTCGCCCTCCACGTCGCTGTCTCACTAGTTTGCGTTCTCGGCGCGAAAGAAAAGGGAAGAGGCACACACAGGCGGTATCCGTCGCGGCATGACACACGAGAGCCCGCACCGCCCCGCCCGGGGCCATGGGGGGGCCTTGCGCCCCCGCCAGCCAAGAAGCTGGCGCGCAGCCGCTGCTGCAGGGCACTGCGGGGGAGGCGACACCGTCGACACAGACGGGCCAGCCACCGCTGCCCAGTGAGGCAACGCAGGAGGAAGACACGGAAAAGCTCGACTGCATCGCCAACGTCAATGCACACAAGGAACGGCGTGGGTTGGCAATGTCCGTGACGGCGTCGCTCGCAACTATAATTCCACCGGGCGGGATGCTCTCCACCGTGTTCAACCTTGCCTCCATATGCATTGGTGCGGGCATCCTCGGACTCCCCGCCGCCTCCAACAGCAGCGGCGTCGTCATGGCGATTGTGTACTCTGCTATC